GAGCGAGGCCCATTGTTCCCGATTCGTCCCACCAACCGGGACCAAAAGGTCCAGATGAACCGGGACCAATGGCCCACGTGGCCCGACCGCCCCCCTGGTCTCACGAACCGGGTCCAATGCCCCCATTGGTCCCGGTTCTGGACTGAACCGGGACTAATGGGCTGACCCGGCCTGGACCAAAGCCCTGTTTTCTACTAGTGCGTAGATGTCGGCGCGGTGGTCGGACAAGTCACACAGCCAGCGGCCGGCGGACCTAGAATAACAGGCTTGGGGGGCTATTATAATCTCAACAATAGTCTTAAACTAGCAACAACTTAACAAACATTTAGTGTTATATATAGTAAAATTTATTTTATAGTTTTGGAGGGGTGCCATGGCACCCACAACACCCCCACTAGATCCGCCCTGCGCATAGCGGGGGCAGCGGCATCTGCTCGATGATCGCCGACGTCTGCTGCTGTCCTGTCGTGGCCCGTGGCCTGCTCGGCCTGGAGCTTCATCATCTGGCCACCGACTTGTTGCATCTCCTTCTCTGAAAACAAACCCGAAGTGTTGGGGATCGTGGCAGAAATTTAAAATTTTCTACGCATCACCAAGATCAATCTATGGAGTAATCTAGCAACGAGGGGAAGGGGAGTGCATCTACATACCCTTGTAGATCGCTAAGCGGAAGCGTTGCAAGAACATGGATGAAGGAGTGGTACTCGTAGCGATTCAGATCGGGGTTGATTCTGATCTAAGCACCGAACAACGGCGCCTCCGCGTTCAACACACGTGCAGCCCGGTGACGTCTCCTACGCCTTGATCCAGCAAGGGGAGAAGGAGAGGTTGGGGAAGACTCCATCCAGCAGCAGCACGTCGGCGTGGTGGTGGTGGAGGAGCGCGGGACTCCAGCAGGGCTTCGCCAAGCACTACGAGAGATGAGGAGAGAGAGGGGTAGGGCTGCGCCAACAGGGAGATCGAATCGTGTCTGTTGCAGCCCCAGTACCTCAAGTATATATAGGGGAAGGGGAGGGGCTGCGCCCCCATCTAGGGTTCCCTCCCTAGGGGTGGCGGCAGCTCCAAAACCCATCTAGGGTTGCGGCCAAGGGGGGAGAGGGGGAGGCGCACCTGGGGTGGGCCTTAGGGCCCATCTGCCCTAGGGTTTGCCCCCTCCCCTCTAGGAGGCGCCTTGGGCCTTGGTGGGAGGCGCCCCAGCCCACCTAGGGGCTGGTCCCTTCCCACTATTGGCCCATGTAGGCCTCCGGGGCCCGCGGCCCCTCCCGGTGGACCCCCGGCCCCCTCCGGTGGTCCCGGTACACTACCGGTGATGCCCGGAACACTTCCGGTGGCCAAAACCATACTTCCTATATATATATCAATCTTTACCTCCGGACCATTTCGGAACTCCTCGTGACGTCCGGGATCTCATCCGGGACTCCGAACAACATTCGGTAACCGCGTACATACTTTTCCTATAACCCTAGCGTCATCGAACCTTAAGTGTGTAGACCCTACGGGTTCGGGAGTCATGCAGACATGGCCGAGACAACTCTCTGGTCAATAACCAACAGCGGGATCTGGATACCCATATTGGCTCCCACATACTCCACGATGATCTCATCGGATGAACCACGATGTCAAGGATTCAATCAATCCCGTATGCAATTCCCTTTGTCTATCGGTACGATACTTGTCCGAGATTCGATCGTTGGTATCCCGATACCTTGTTCAATCTCGTTACCGGTAAGTCTCTTTACTCGTTCCGTAACACATCATCCCGTGATCAACTCCTTGGTCACATTATGCATATTATGATAATGTCCTACCGAGTGGGCCCAGAGATACCTCTCCGTTACACGGAGTGACAAATCCCAGTCTCGATTCGTGCCAACCCAACAGACACTTTTAGAGATACCCGTAGTGTACCTTTATAGCCACCCAGTTACGTTGTGACGTTTGGCACACCCAAAGCACTCCTATGGTATTCGGGAGTTGCACAATCTCGTGGTCTAAGGAAATGATACTTGACATTAGAAAAGCTTTAGCATACGAACTACACGATCTTTGTGTTAGGCTTAGGATTGGGTCTTGTCCATCACATCATTCTCCTAATGATGTGATCCCGTTATCAACGACATCCAATGTCCATGGTCAGGAAACCGTAACCATCTATTGATCAACGAGCTAGTCAACTAGAGGCTTACTAGGGACATAGTGTTGTCTATGTATCCACACATGTATGTGAGTTTCCTATCAATACAATTCTAGCATGGATAATAAACGATTATCATGAATAAGGAAATATAATAATAACTAATTTATTGTTGCCTCTAGGGCATATTTCCAACACGAAGGGACCTGGAGAGACCTGGTCGGCTTGGCCGAAGCTGACAAGGTCTGGTCGGCTTCGCCGTAGCCGACAACAAGGTTGTGAGAATCGCGATTCTGAATCGGATCGGAGCTCCAATGACAGGATCGCAAATAGTAGAATCTTCACTATTAGAATCGTGAAAACGTAGATTTTATGAACCAACATCGTAGAATCAGAGGGGTTAGTTTGGATCGTAAAGTCGTAGAATCGTATAATAGAATCGCGATTCTGACAACCTTGGCCAACAGGTTTCTATCGGCGCCGGCAACACCGAGCCCGTATTATTTTAGCAATTTCCCCAAAAATACATAATATTATTTCTGGAAATTAATAAAAAATATTATTTTTTAAAAAAATTAGCCAGGAAGGGTGCTAAAATGTGATTACGATGACATGACACCGATCCCCAACCTAATCAATCATCGATCGTCGTTGTCCCTGGTCGATCATCTATCTCTCCTACGACTTGTCTTCCTCTCACCAATCATACCGATCCAAAAGCTTGCTGTCCCACAATGTATACTCTGATCTCATTGATTAATCCCGTGTTAGGACTACTAATTTGCTTCCCGTGTTAGCAACAACCAAACGGCAGAAGCTACAAAGTATACAATGCCGATCGAGATCGATGCCGCCATGGCAACCACCGGCGATGGAGTTTGGTTCGCACACGCCACACCGTGTCGTTTTCAGCTGCACTTTGCTCACGCCATGGCAACCACTGCCGTACATGCATGCATGTCTGCTAGGAGCCTAGAAGACGCAAACGAGAGAGCGATGGCCTACTATATTGCACCTTCCAGTTCGGACTTTTCCAGTGTAGTGTATGTATGTATACTCCAATTTAAAATTGGTAGACTATTTGAATATATATATATATATATATATATATATATATATATATATATATCTACCACGTACTAGTATAATATATGACAGGTAGCTCTAGATAAACTAATCTCGAAATTACAGCTAGCTGGAGATTATATATAAGCCACGGCTGGGTGACGCGCACGGAGTATGTTGTAGGTAGAACATGCGTGCATGTTTCATGTGCATGCGCATGTGCAAAGCGGAGAAGACCGCGCGCCCACGTGGGGGCGCATATGTACGTGTTGAATGGGTCATATATTCAGGGTGTTGCCAAATTGAATGAAAAAGAAAAAAATAATGAACTCGAGCACCTAGCTATTACACTAGAAATTTACTATTTGGACAGTTTTTATGAAATGCCCTTTTGTAATTTTGGAATATAAAAATTGCGCATGTATGTTTGAAGCGTGAAAATGCGCACGCAATCGAACTAGTCCCGGTCCATCAGTTGACAATCCGGTTTGAAACAAGATTTGGCAGCTTGAGGGCTCACAGAAATTACGAATATTTTGCTGAAGAAGTTTGAATGGAGTGGTCCCAGTCCGATCAATCCCAGCGAACAGACATACCCCAACATCCGGCTAGTGTCCGGTCTCTTAGCGAGGAGCCGAAGATATCCGTCATCTTCTGTTTCTATGTAAACCAGCTGTTGAGATATGGCAAAGACTAGGTACATACAATCTGATGCATGGTTGATGCACTAGTGATTGAACGATCAGGTTCGGCCATTCTGGAATATCTCTTGACGTCCACTTCAGGTTCACTACCGCATGCTTCTAGTGTTGAGATCAGAGAAGCAATTGCTACTGCAGGTTGGTACATCATTAATGAGAGAGGGTACAACCAGCGGGGAAGTGTGCTGCATCTATTATTTTGATTGCTGCAAATGCCACACAGAAAGTTTCTTTGTTGCCGGATGTGGAGAAGAGATGGACCAAGCCTGAACTACGTTTTGCGAAGCTGAATGTAGATGGTGTGTATCATGCAGACGAAGGAGTTGGAGCTTCAGTGGCTATATTACGCGACATCAAGGGTAATTTCATTGATGCGTCATGCATATACTACCCTATAGTTGCTAATGTTGTTACATCTGAAGATGTGGCAATGAGGGATGGTCTAGCCTTTGCTAACACCATGGGATTTCATGCTATTGAAGCGGAATCAGATTCTTTGGAGATAATCAATTTTTGCACTAGACATGATCATTGGTGGGATGCTGCAACAACAGTATATGCAGAAATCTTGGACTTGGCTACGGATATGGGAAAGGTCAATTTTAATAGTGTTGCTCATGAGCTAGCTCAATTTAGTTTCCATAATAAACTTTCTAGTATTTGGGGTGGTGATCCTTCTAGTTGCCTCCTTAGTAAACTAGCCGATGATGTAAACATTTTTTTGAGTTAATAAAGCTAGTCATGATTGTCTTCTTTCAAAAAACTAAAAATTCATGGAGCATAATATTTTTTTCGAAACGGAGGCAAAAGATTTGCCTCATCGATTAATTAAGAAGAAGAGAGTTGCCCAGTTAATTAATGGAAAACCGGGCGAAAACCAATACAAACCTACCACATGAGGACTACTCACATAACATGTAACCCCATAAACACAATCAGCCAGACAATCATACCCAACACATAACGACCACCAACCTCCACAAAGCTACATCGCATAGACACCACCAACGAGAGTACCTCGGCCGGAGACCACGAGCACCACCAAGACCACAGAGACAAGTCAGGCCATATGGACAACTGAAGAGACTGATGACCATACATCAAGCAGCTGCGGACGCCTTTCCTGCGCCACCACTCTTCTTACTTTTGCTCTTGATAAGAGCCTCCTCCACAATCGCCTTGCCGGATCCAGGACAAGCCGCCTCCAAACGCTTGAGCAAGCTGTGAACCTCTAACTCGAAGAGAATCTCATCGACCTTGTCACGCACAGACACCTTCCCAACGGCCACCTGCGAGTGGGTGACCACAACGTCGGAACCTCCGCGGTCCACAAAGGCGAGCGGCTGGCTGGGCTCCCAAGAGTCAGGCGCCAACATACAGACCGCATCAACATTATCAGCCACAGAAACCACCGGCATGACAACATCACCCACGGGAACCACTGACACTGACTCAGGCACCTCCAGTTGCTCACATGACAGAGGCGAAACATACCCCTCACACGAGGTCACCGAAGAGTCCACCTCCACGCGCTCCACAGACAAAGGCGAAACAAGGCACAAACATAGCTCTTGTAGGTCAGGCATGATCTGCAGAACTGGAGCCTCGGGCACGGCGATGGGCTCACCCTCACTAGTACGCAACACAGGAGACAAGGTCAATGGTGCTGATGAGATATCTCCAACACGAGGAGAGAAACACCCATATAGCTCTTGGCTCCCTTCCTTCGTGGAGGCAACACCGACCACACCAGGAGGGCATGACGTCAGAGCGGTCGGCAACACAGTCGACACAAGGGTGAGCTTTCCCAAAGCAGCCTCTGCTCTCTCCAAAAAGCTCTTAGCCCGTGCCATCCAACCCTGCAGCAGCGCAGTCTGCTCAGCCAGAGCAGCTTGCAACATCACGTCAGGCTGGGTTGTCGAGCCAACAGTAGCAGAGACGACAGACGCCCAAGACCCATGAGGAAGCACCTTAGATGGGAGCGTGGATTTCATCGGACTCTCACATGAAGCTGAAGCAGGACGATGGACGGTACTAACTAATGGCTGCACAGCAAGGCAAGACAACGAGCTTAGAAGACGACCTGGATTGCGGCATCCGCGTGCACGGTGACCGTTCTCCAAACAACGGGAGCATCGAAATGGATCTCTGCATTCAGCCGCACGGTGCCCACGAGCGAGGCATCTACAACATCGACCATGCATCCAAGCAGGGATGGGGCGAGGAGCCACTGCCAGGGCCGGCAACATTGGACGACGCGGACCACGCCGGGGCAACACCTCTTGCCATCTTCCGCACACCTCCGGCACACGTCCCACACCCGACTGGGCAGCGGTCAGGCCCTAGCCATTGGCAGCGAGCTGTGTTGTAGGGACCAGGGTGGAGTCGAAGACCATGGAGGCATCTTGTGGCACCAGTTCTTCTTCGTCCTCTTCCTCTTTGTCATTGGCAGTAGAACCCCACGTGCCCACACCATTAGGCGCCGGCTCCTGGGCATCAAGTGCCGTGACGACCAAGCAGGGGCTCGCCACATGCTGCAGAAACCCAGTCCGCAGGAGCTCCAGAGGTGCCTGGTCTGGCCCCGGCAGGGATGCAGGCGCCGCCGCCGGGGACGACGGCAGCTGGCCGGGGGAGCCGCCGACAATGGGAGCAGAGGTAGCGCCGGTGCCGGCCCTCCGCCCACCTATGGACGAGTCGGCCTTGCGGGAGGCCAGCGTAGCCGCGGCCAGCTTCGCGGCAGAGACGATGGGCGAGGTCGGAGCAGCAGCCGACACAGGGAGCCTTGCGGACGCGGAAGCTGGCAATTTGCCTAGGGGCACCTCAGGCACCTTCACGGACCCCCCACCAACCTGGACTAGGCGGCCCAGCATCGGCTGCGGCAGCGCGGACAGGAGCTCCCGATCCAGATCGGATCGAGCAGCGGACGGAGGCGCCGGCAGGACGACGCACGCCGTGCAGCTAGCAGGCAGCTCGGCGGGAGGCGGCGGAAGCTTGCCGGCCGGGACAGGGGGCGGCGACGGGAAGGCCGACGGAGGTGCTGGTGTTGAGGACGAAAGGGACAGCGCGAGGTTGCGGGGCCTCATCTTGCACACTTGCTCGTCCTTGCGGGAGGGAGAGGAAGAGTAGCTGGCGTGGAGGCCGGATTCGGGCGCGGCGGGAGCGGGGGGTGGTCGGAGCGAAGAGATCCGGCCGGCGGCGGCGGCCGCATGGTCACGCGGCCATGAGCGCGGACGCGAGATTCACTTCTCGCTCCCCCTCGTGCATCTTTTCATTCGCACGGAGCATAATATAACTCACGAGCATAATATAACTCACGACACAATCTTGTAAAATACCACTCGCATATTTGCATGTTCCTAGAGTACTACTGGAGTACTTTACAAGTAGTACTACTAGCTAATAACTGTTCAATCATAAGCAGCTACTCCTATTCATCAAAGGTGGGGGCTGAGGGTCGGCAAGCTGTAGGTCACGCATGTAAGCAACCCAACGGCCCCAACCTACTAAAGATCATGCAACGTCGACATCTGTCTACAGATTATGTGGACATATAAAATGCAGTCACCTCACCTCCAACCTAGTGTGCAATAGTGATGACTTTTGATTTGGAGATCAAATACTGATGCGATTCGTAGCATGGGAAAAAAATCCTACCGCATAGCGAACAGGTGAGGGGTTTCGCTGGAACGGGACCCGACCCTCCCGCGAGCGACTGGGAGGCAACCCTAGCCGCCACCGCCGGTCCTCCCCAACCCCCGCCTCCTCCCTCGCCGTCGTCGGAGGGCGCAGCCGGGCGAAGCCCGTGCAGCGCCGGCGGCGGCGGGGCCCCTTCTCCTCCCTGCTTGGTGGTGGCGTGGCACCACTCGTGGGGCGCGGCGGCGTGGTACTGGGGTCTCGCCGCAGTCGCGGCTGGCCTCGGCGGCCGTGCGGACGGCTGCGTGGCGGTGGGGCACGCCCGTACTGGTGGCGGTTGTGCAGCGGGGTTCCGATCTGGCTGCGTCATCCCAAACCTACCCTAAGTGTCATCGAACCTTAAGTGTGTCATCCTACGATTTGGCGATATTCATACACGACCGACACACCTCTCCGATTAATAATAATTAGCGAGATCTGGATACCGAAATGACTCCTACACATTCCATGAATATCACATGATCACTTGAACCATAGACGTTGTATCCCCTCCCTTTGTCTCGCGATACTTTACTTGTCCGAGATAAGATCGTCGGTATCACTATACCTAATTCGATCTTGTTACCGACAAGCATTCTTTACTCGTTTCACAATATGACATTAAAAGTGCAACTATCCCTAGGTGGTTTTGATAATTCCTAACAATATATAGCTCATTGAGCTAATGCTATTTCAAGATTAATATCTCAGGAAAGCTCAATGATTGGCACGGCATGGATGAGAAAAGTGGACCCCTCAAAATGCTAAGGACAAAAGATTGGCTCAAGCTCAAATCTCAAGACTGTACATTTTCTATTTTAGTGATCCAAGATCACATTGAGTCTACAGGAAAAGCCAATACTATCAAGGAGGGATGAGGTGTTGCTTAATGAGGTCTTTCTCAAAATGCTTAGTGATATGCTCCAAAACCCTCAACTACTTTCTTACATCCACATATGACCTAAACCAAAAGTCAAACTCGGCCCCACCGATTCTTTCTATCCGGCGCCACCGAGTTTCAAATGTCATAGCCACTGCCACAAACCCTAGGCAAATCGGTCTCACTGATAGGGATCTCGGTCTCACCGAGATGGGATTGTAATCTCTATGTTTCCCTTCGTAACGTTTCGGTCTCACCGAGATGAACGATCGGTCCCACCGAGATTGCAATGTAAACTCTCTGTTTTCCCTTTTTAACGTTTTCGGTCTCACCGAAATGAGCGATCGGTCCCACCGAGTTTACCTGACCAACTCTCTGGTTAGCTTATTACCAAAATCGGTCTCACCGAGTTTGTGTAATCGGTCTCACCGAGATTACATTATGCCCTAACCCTAATCATATCGGTCCTATCGAGTTGCATGTCGGTCCCATCGAAAACCCTAACGGTCACTAGCTTTGCTAAATCGGTCAGACCGAGTTTAACCATTCGGTCCCACCGAGTTTGGGAAGTTATGTGTAACAGTTAGATTTTGTGTGGAGGCTATAAATACCCCTCCACCTCCTCTTCATTCGTGGAGAGAGCCATCAGAACAAACCTACACTTCCAACCTATATTTTCCGAGAGAGAACCACCTACACTTGTGTTGAGACCAAGATATTCCATTCCTACCATATGAATCTTGATCTCTAGCCTTCCCCAAGTTTCTTTCCACTCAAATCTTCTTTCCACCAAATCCATATACTGTGAGAGAGAGTTGAGTATTGGGGAGACTATCATTTGAAGCACAAGAGTAAGGAGTTCATCATCAACACACCATTTGTTACTTCTTGGAGAGTGGTGTCTCCTAGATTGGCTAGGTGTCACTTGGGAGCCTCCGACAAGATTGTGGAGTTGAACCAAGGAGTTTGTAAGGGCAAGGAGATCGCCTACTTCATGAAGATCTACCGCTAGTGAGGCAAGTCCTTCGTGGGCGATGGCCATGGTGGGATAGACAAGGTTGCTTCTTCATGGACCCTTTGTGGGTGGAGCCCTCCGTGGAATCGCGCAACCGTTACCCTTCGTGGGTTGAAGTGTCCATCAACGTGGATGTACGATAGCACCACCTATCGGAACCACGACAAAACATCCGTGTCTCCAATTGCGTTTGAATCCTCCAAACCCTTCCCTTTACATTCTTGCAAGTTGCATGCTTTACTTTCCGCTGCTCATATACTCTTTGCATTCTTGATTGAATTGTGTTAAGATTGCTTGACTTGTTCAAAGTTGCTAAAATCTGCCAAGAACTAAAATTGGGAAAATGCTAGATTTTTATTTGGTCAAGTAGTCTAATCACCCCCCCCTCTAGACATACTTTCGATCCTACAAGTGGTATCAGAGATTTGGTCTCCATTTTCCTTGATTTTCATAGCTTTTGGAAGTCATAGCTTTGGTTTCACAACCTAGGACAGTATGGCGTCTAGCGAGGAAAATTACCACCGTAGAGGTCCTTACTTTGATGGTACTAATTTTGCTAGTTGGAAGCATAAGATGAAAATGCATATTCTTGGACATAACCTCACCGTTTGGGCTATTGTGTGTGTTGGCTTGCAAGGTGAATTCTTTGATGGGAAAGAACCAAATCGTGAAGCTACCGCGAAAGAGTTGAAGATGCTGCAATACAATGCTCAAGCTTGTGATATCCTCTTCAACAGATTGTGCCCCGAAGAATTCAACAAAATCAGCCGACTTGAGAATGCAAAGGAAATTTGGGATACTTTGATTGATATGCACGAAGGTACCGACTCCGTCAAGGAATCCAAGTTGGATGTGCTTTAAAGTCAACTTGACAAGTTCAAAATGAAGGATGGTGAAGGTGTTGCTGAAATGCACTCTAGGCTTGCTCTTATCACAAATGAGATTGCCGGCTTAGGAAGTGAAGAGATGACCGACAAATTCATCATCAAGAGGATCCTAAGAGCCTTGGATGGAAAATATGATACCGTATGCACATTGGTCCAAATGATGCCAAATTACAAAGATCTCAAGCCAATGGAAGCCATTGGAAGAATTGTTGCTGATGAGATGTCACTCAAGGATAAGGAGGAGCTCCATAACAAGTCAAGTGGTGCTTACAAAGCCTCATGTGAAGCTCCCACATCATCAAGTGAGAAACAAACCTTCAATGAAGAATTGAGCCTAATGGTGAAGAACTTCAACAAGTTCTACAAGAATAGAAGCAAAGAGAGAAGTTTCAAGTCAAGGTCCTACAATGACAAAAGATCTTCTAGTCGAGAGCGAAACTGCTACAATTGTGGAAGACCCGGACACTACTCCAATGAGTGTACGGCTCCCCACAAGAGAAGAGAAGATTCTCCCAAAAGAAGAAGTAGAAGAGAAGAATCACCATCAAGGGAGAGAAGGAGTAGGGATGATCGTTATGAACGAAGACCCTCCCGGAGAAGCAAGGATTCAGAAAGGAAGGACAAGTCATCAAGGAGCTACACAAAACGAAGACATCAAGCTCATGTTGGTGAATGGGTATCCGGCTCCGACTCCGACAGTCACTCCGAGAGAAGCTATCACTCCGACTCCGAATATACTCAAGATGAAGGTGTTGCCGGTCTAGCACTTGTGTCAACCAACTCCTACGACATATT